TCGACTGTGTAGAGGTTAGACTGGGCATCTGGTCACCGCTCTGTACCGTGCGGTGGCTGCAGGTCTTTCCGATGGCTGTAAGATTGAGTGACATTCGGTTGATACAGTAGGTGGGAGGAATGTTTGAGCTGGTTTGATTTAACAGCACGTCAGGGTGTTTGCGTGTTGTTCACCCCCGTTGTCCATCACAAGGACGTCGTCTCCTTGGTCGGATTTAGAGTTAAAAACGTTTTAAGTTCTCAGCAGCTCAAGTCAGTCAAGGTTTGGGATGAAAATAATCTGGGATTGAATCCCGGTTGACCAGTTAGGCTGTTCCCCCCTTTCGAGGTTGATTCCCTCTTTGCCCAGCATTCACTCCTGGTGCATCTTTGTTGACGCCCGTCTTTACAGGTACTGCATTAATGGGCCATAATAATAATAATAATCCTTGCATTTGATATAGCGCTTTTCACGTCGGGAGGACGCCCCAAAGCGCTTCACAGAACACACTGTAAAGTGAATTGACTGTATTCAGGTCTCTCGCTTGCAAAGCGAGCGCTCTAACCACTGAGCTACAGGACTCCACGCCATCGCTCTCCCACTGTCGGACGCATCAATGAGAATCCTCAACCTGCGAGCCAAAGCCCTAATAAATAGCTCAGTCCCACGGGCAGTGCCGCTAAGTTACTATTTTGAAGCCACACGTTACTGGAGCATATAAAAGCGTAGAACGATTGGAGGAACCAACTCAGCACTGTATTTTTCCAGACCAATTTAACGAGTTGAATTGGAATGCATAACAAGGCGCAAATTTTGAGGTCTTCCTGGGAAATACCGTCTTAACTTGATTTTTTTTTAAAAAAAGGAACAACGCTGTAGCTTGGCTGGCTCAGTAGCTGAAGCAGCTATTTGGATGATGTCAAGGGTGTTCCTCTGATGCATCTGTGGGCTGGGACACCAGCGGCAGCAGAAAGCCCCACTGTGCGCTAATTGTCGTTGACGACAATTATCACATCGCATTTTTCACTCCATCATTATGTATTGCAGTTCTCGCTGGGAAGAAATACGGCGTGGATTCCTCCAAAGATAGTTCTCACGCGCACGGCATTTGTCACCCCAATTAATCAGCGCTGAAGGATTATATCTGTGAAAAATTCATTGCGACAACAGCGCTTAAACAAGCAGCACATGTCACATTTTAACCCGACAACTTCTCACCGTTCGAAACCGCACGTGATAAAAAATTCCAACCATCGGAACCGTTTACGATTCATTCTATTAATGAATCAACGTGCTTTGGATGGTGTAAAATAGATGTCACACGAGCAATGCAATGTGTTACGTCTTCTCTTAACACACTCCCTTCTGTTCTCCTTATATTTTATAAGCTGCAGCTCATTCAAAGCCCCCACCCCCACCCATCACTCCGTCGCATCCCGACTCATCTAATGCTCCAAATGATCAACAGCCCAGTCCTCACCGGGCTCCACTGGCCCCATTTCTCAGCAGTTCCATTTCGAGGTCCTCAATCTCAAATCCGTTCACACCCAAACACACAGTCCGTTTGAAAGACCAATGAGTCCTGTGTGTATGGGCAGTGTCTTGCTGTTGCATTTCTTTTCTTACAGTCGTAGACATTAGAGCGTGGAACATTCAGTTTATTAAGCCTAAATTAATATGAGGCTATCTGATACGATGGATACAGGAGAGAATCTAGCACTAACTGGCCACACTGTGGACAAGAAAACAGTGTTGATGTATCAAAACGTGCAGCATTACACACCGGGAGATGTGCAATCAATCGCTATAGTACCACAGTGCCAGAAATAATCCCACTCCTTAACTGCAAGGTTTCTAATTGAAATGTTAGTCCTTAATTGGGGAGGACACATTTGAGGACAAAATGGGGAGAGCGGGATTAATTTAGATAGTTCTTTCAAAGAGCCGGCATGGACACGACGGGCCGAATGGCCTCCTTCTGTGCTGTATAAATCTATGATTCTAATTCAATCGTGTTAGTACAGGTGCATTGGGGTGGTGGAGCTTATTTGACATCCAAGCGATGCTAATACCTGGTCTGAGTGCTTGATGAGTCGCACAATATACACAACTGATCTCAGACATGATAAAGCATTATATCAAACACAAGGATTATTATTATTATTATCTACAACAACAAGATTCCATTTATTGAGCGCCTTTCACGTCGGGAGGACGCCCCAAGGCGCTGTACAGTTAGGTCAGGACCCGAGCAAGGGGGGAAATGGTCAGGGTGAGGGGAGGGAAGGAAGGGAGCGAGGAGGGGGTAGAGAGTCGAGAGGGGAGCTGAAGGCACGGTCAAAGAGAAAGGTCTTGAGACCGGCCTTGAAGGAGGAAAGGGAGGAAGCGGCGAAGGCACTGGGGGATAGAGTTCCAGAGCCTATAACCTGAGCTTCAGCTGCTAGTTTTTCAAAGAAACCAAAGCAACACATTCTGCATCAGATTGAAACCAGAGCTGAGATCACATTTATTACCTTAAGCAGTCACATTAATCCAGTAAAAAAAAGGATTTCATAATTCAAAACAATTCCAAGTGGTGAGATTTTTTAAAAAAAAAATCTTAGGTGTTCAATACCCAATGTATAAAAGTGACCGAGGACACCACTGTTATTTAAATAATTATAAACAAATTATACAATAGCGTTTAAAAGATTCAGAGACAGTATCCCTCCACAGCTAAACATTATTACACTTTATCTTAAAAGCATATCTTTCACAACTCAGTCTTTCAATAAAGTTCAAGTGACGGCCTTCAAACAGCAGCTTGCACCACACACAGGAAAATTCTGTGACTTAAGTAAGTTGATGGGCAGATTGAAACTCTGCTGTTTCCTGGTGATTTCTAATCCAGAATTGTTATTTATATCTTATAGCAACACTAGTGGTTGACAGCAGCTTAATAATTGACAGCAAAGGCTTTGAGGGAATATTCATTTGAAACAGCACCAAATACAGGCCTTTAACATCTACCAAACACGAGTTTGACATGTCCACCGAGGCTGAAAATTGGAAAGTCACGGTGGAAGAGTGAAGAACACCAATCAAGACACTGAAGTCCAACGTGGGCAAAGTGATAAGTACCACAAACTCTGTTCACTAGGAAAGTAACCAACACTGCTGTGCACCATTGGCTGCCGTGTTTCGTCCGCAAAGTACAGTCAATTCACTTCAGAGTATATCCTGTAAAGCGCTTTGAGACGTCTCAACAACGTGATAAGGCGCTGTATCGAAATGCAATGATGGGGCCATGTTTATTGTCTGGAACTATTTAAGAGTCATTATTCCAAGCTATTTGCAGATTTGATGTCATGTAAATTCTGGTTTTAAATTTAGAAATAATGCCTTACCAATATTTTAAAGACTTAAACATAAGTGAATGGTTTCTCTGTCCATCCATTATTCTCTTCATTCTATGGGTATTGCTGACTTAAAAAGACACGAGGCACGAACCCAGAGTCTTCAAATACCGCATGTGATTTGTTCACTTTTAGCTTAAATTCAGACGACTAAGGCCACACAGGAGTGAGAACCTGTGCCACAATCAGGCTGAGGGGAGGGACACGCACAATAGATGCTGGTTAGCTTGTTCTACGATCACAAAGTGTTGACAGTTTTACGAGGGAATTGGATAGTTTTGATGGTAGTGGGGATCAGGTATAAGAGCAGCACTATTTTTTAAAAAATTAAACCGGAGAGACAGGTGGCATGTTCTTTTCCCATCTTGCACATTTGTGTGTTCAACACCTATTTGTATATTGGGGAGGGAAGGGGGATTGTGTGTATTAATATGTGTGATCAACCAGCAGATCTCTCCACATGAAGAGCAATGATTACGCAGTGCATCAACACACCCAGCTACAGGGCCCTAATGCTAGCATCGGTGGCATCTTCACCTACAAACTGACGTGAGTAAGCCCTCTGTGTAAACACATGTTCAAGGTTCAGCTCATCTCTCTACTCTTCTCCCCCCAATTACCCCACCTTTGCACCCATAATGGTTGTAGGCGTCAGGTAATAACGAACAGCACCTTTTGAATAAAAAGTCTGTAAACGACTTTAACCAACTGGTGAAATACAATTGGCCATTAAGGGTTTATGGATAACTTGATCTCGCAAGCATTTGGAATTGCTATCCCAGCAAGCCGAGCTCACTTCAATATAACCTGGGGACAAACATTCCTGGGTATCCATGGAATGGGACAGGATTCCATATGGCCCATTCTCCACTTCACAAACAGTCAACTTGTCCCAAGGTGGAACAGCAGTTACCACGGTCATTTTATTGCACAGTAAATTTTCATTCTCCATCACTGTAAGGCACAGCCCTCAAACAATTACATATGCAGAATATTCTTCGATACTTGATATTGGCAGTGACGCAGTGTTTTTAACCAGGAGAGTTCTGGTCTATTGAAAAACTGGTAGGAACGTTTAGAATACATTTGAGGTAGGAATTCAGTCTCGTAAACATGATGGAGCAAATTCTGGATTACATCTGACCCAACCCATTACTTAAAAAAAAAGTGACCCAGGTCCAAAAATATACCACAACCAGGTAAAACATTTTCCAGTTCCTAGACATGTGCACTATTCTCAATTGCCCCATCTCCCAGCATGACCTCCACTCCCAACACAACCCTTCTACTGGGACCCAGTATCTAGACTTCAAACAGCAGCAGCAGCAGGGTAGGTCAACTACCACTACACTGAGAAAGGCCAGCATCGTCTCACCTTTTCTTAAGAATAGCTGCAGCAAAGCCCAGGAGAGGCCACCAAGATGTAACCTCCTCGCTGACTATCTGTGAGTTACACATGAAGCTGCTAAGTCAAGTCATTGAGTGAATGTGAGAGTGAGTGTGAGAGTGAATGAGTGTGAGGGTGAGTGAGTGAGTGTGAGAGTGACTGAGTGTGAGTGAGTGAGTGTGAGAGTGTGACAGTCACTGATAACCTACAAATACTGGTGAGTGCTTTTGCTTCCTAATGTTTTACGCTGATAACAGTTCAGTTCAAATCAGGGTTTCCTCATCCCGGCTACAGTGTGTGCAGAGTTGGCACGGTCGGTCATACTGATGTCCCCTCGGATGGCGAATGTGCAGGAGGCTGGGCTCCTTTGGTCTTCTCCCCGCCCTCAGTCTTCAGCCACTCCATCTTCTGCTTGTGTTGTCGAATAGCGTCTGCTACCCTGGCATCAATCATAGCTTCATTCAGGACACCATCCGCAGACGCATATGCTGCAGCCTGGAAAACAAGAGGGAAAGGGGCACCCTTTAGCAAGAGAGGATCAAGGCATGCACGGATCAACAACTTAATTTTGATCACAATCCATTCAGTTTCACGCTGCCACGATGCACCGTTCAAAAAAAAAATTACTTTCAGCACTCCTGCCACCGAAATAACAGTAGCAGAAAAGCCCAGGAGCTCAGTCACTGGATACCGAGCCACGCCGTTCAGTCTCCGCTGTCGTTTGCTTAAAAAAATTCCAGTGACATCTATATCAAATGCAAGGATTATCATTATTATTATTTGTTATTAACTCATGCTGAAAATCTGACGTTATTATTTACATTTTCATGGTAAAGTTAAGGCTTTGGCTCGTGTGCACATGTGCCCTGTGGAAATCAATGCAAAAGTGGCAGAAAGTTGAATTCAGCAACACATCCATTTTGGCAAGGCATTCTGAGCACCCACAGCTCCCAAACTGCAGCTATTTACATTCCCTCCTCTCCACCCCAAAAGACATACCACTGTTTCGAGCGCCACAGTTGAACCCGAACCGGTCCTCGCTAGATAACCACGTACACTTTCCACCAATGAACACGAAGCAGATCCAGTGCTCTGGAGAGGGAATTATGTCTCACTTTCCTGCTACCGAGCAAGAGCACCGGGTTCAGCTCAACTATTTAATGCAATATGAACCCGTGATATTTTGGGACTGCATTCAATCACACAACGCATTTACCCACTGAGGCATACGTTCAAGCTCAGTTTAAACACCGCTGTTTGGACAGTACATGCGCTGCCGGCTGACGCACAAAGTTTCTAATTGGTTGCAAAGCTGAATAAGTCAATATTAGCTCAACGGACGTCCAATTTAAACCAAATGTCATCACATCACAGCAGCGGCTAGTCAAAACGCCACAGGATTTGTTCATATAATTATCTGATGCAGGCAGTGCATCAATAAGCAGCTAAAACACATTTTAAAAAATTGAACTGAGCCACTTCGGTTAGTAAATTAAATTATTGAGAAGCTTTTTATAGTCACACTTCCAGTTGACGATAGTGCTGCTCAGCTCATCCTAGTAGAGGTCTGCACCACACCCAAAATTACCCACTGCATTCCAGTTCCCCCTCTCCTTGTACTAGATATTCATGGAAAGGTTTCAACTATTCCCAAGGTGTTCCCAACCTGACTTAGATATCTAATGTTTTAAATATGTTGGATTCAATCTCCTCCTCCAATCCTCAAAGGTCTTAAACAGTCACGGACTGTGGAGGAATAATCAAAATACGTCTGATCAAAATACATGAACAATCCTCATTCAGATTATACAAAATATATTTACAAACTGTTGATTTATTTTTTATTGCGACACCTTAGCCCAGGAACAGATAATAATAATAATACTTCCATTTGTTATAGCACCTCCGAGACGTCTCAAAGCGAGTCACAAAATATACTGTAAAGTGAATTGACTATATTTTGTGGGCGAAGAGATAAGTGCAGCTAAATAATGGGACCCCATATAATTTGCAGAATTTACTGCAATCATCATTTACTACAACCATTTACTTCCAGAGGTGACCTGGGGTAGGTCATTTGCTGCTCAATGAGATGGGGGAGAAAGAAGAGAGATAACACTGCTCGTGCATTCATTGTGGTTCTTCAACAAGGCATTACGTTCAGAGATTACCAAAGTCAACAACAACAACAACAACAACAAGATTCCATTTATAGAGCGCCTTTCACGTCAGGAGGACGTCCCAAGGCGCTGCACAGTTGGGTCATGACCCGAGCAGGGGGAAATGGTCAGGGTGAGGGAGGGAAGGGAGAAGCGAGGAGGGGGGAAATGGTCAGGGTGAGGGGAGGGAAGGGAGGGAGCGAGGAGGGGGGAAATGGTCAGGGTGAGGGGAGGGAAGGGAGGGAGCGAGGAGGGGGAAGAGATTCGAGAGGGGAGCTGAAGGCTCGGTCAAAGAGAAAGGTTTTGAGACCGGCCTTGAAGGAGGAAAGGGAGGAAGCAAGGCGAAGGCACTGGGGGATGGAGTTCCAGAGCCTGGGGGCTGAGAGGCTGAAGGCCCGACCACCGATAGTAGGGCGGTTGGGGCGGGGGACGTGGAGCAGACCGGAGCCAGAGGAACGGACTAGTCTATCCAAGACTAGTCTATCCAAGAGCAGAAATAACAGCCAAGGGACAAGGCTAAATATTCAGGGTTTTGAATATACAGACCATCTGCCAACCCTAAAAATGGACTGTATACACCAGAGCCTGTGTTGTGCTCCCTCAATCTGTCAGAGAGGAGTATTCAAGAGCAAAAAGAAATAGTAGTAAAAATTGCAATATTACACTCTATGGTGACAGAAACACAGATAAATTAAATGGAATAAAAGCAACCCAAGCGACTAGTACCGACTGGCTCAGAGCTTGCTCAGCCCTCTGCTGCTTTGCCACATTTCCCTTTTCTGTCGAGGTTAATGATGAAAACAAGGGGACGATGTGACTGACATTAAAAAACATTCACTACGTCAACAATTCGCTGATGGGGCTCAGACCATCTGCTTAGAAAAGAAGCCAATCTGTGTCGTTGTCCATGGCACAAAGAAATATAAATATAACTATTACATTCTGCCATGGCAGAAATACAGATAAATGAACTGAATATTTGCTTTAATGAATGAAAGAAAGAAATATTGTGTAGACTGCACAAAACCACTGCAACCTATTCCTCACTTGTATTCTCAGACCTGAAATAAAACTCAGACCTCTATCAGTCTCACAGCTTGAAGCTTCTTGGGGCACAGACTTTTCTTCAATAAATTGATTATTGTGAATGTTTTGCAAAATTCTGATGTGGCCAATTTACCTATAAGCACTTAAAAATTCCAACCATTTCAATGATTTGCAGACATTCTATGACCAGATACTGTGTGGGGCCCATGAACAAATTCAGCAAAGGCAACAATATGAAAGCAAAGATCTACTCAAGACAACTTGCAGTGAAAACACAACCAAACACTTGCTTGGGCAAAGGAAACCAACACTGCAAGCATCGGTAGGGACAGAATTAACTGAGGCCAAGAGGGGGGGGGGGGAAAGCATCCTAAAGAAGCATTCTTGTGATAGCCACAATGGAAAGAATTTGCATCAAAGTTCAAACTGTACGAAGCTGGTGAAATAACCACTTATTCTAAACGCTGTGAACCTAGGAAAGCAGCAAGAAATATGGGCTTAAGAAATATGAAAACTAAAATTGGAAGAAAGCAGTCCATAGGGCACTCAGATGTTTAATGAACTGTAGCAAACGGCTTTATTCATAAACAGATCAGTGGAACTGGGAGTCAGACTTCAATTACCATATTAGCACCAAGTCGATATGGGGGCCGAGTTCACTGTGATCAGAAGAATATAAAAGACCAACTGCAACTAACTTTAAAGGAACCTATAAATGTTTAAACAGCAATTTGCGCTTACTGATCCATTTCCTGGATTCGTAATTCAAAGCTGTGAGCTCTCCTAACTCATTGCAATTCTTAATCCCCCCCCCCCCACCCCATGATACTTTTCATGATTAAATCACAGAATCATAAAAGCTTTATAGGCCATTGTGTCTCTGCTCCTTCTAGCCCCCAATTTGAGCTAATCTCATTCCCATACTTCTAGGTTTCCAACAGCTTTTTAACTGCTCTGGCGAACTCAGGTTTCCGCAGGTATTGTGGTAAGCCATTCCACATTCTAAAAAAAAGTCCATGTAAAACAATATTTCTCTAAACTCTCCTTTTATATAATATGGTGGTGATCCAGAATTCATTCCTTCCCTTTATTATCAGTGAAAATAATCTGTTCACTAAAAAACATTAATAATTCTGAAAACCTCAATTAGATCTCGCCCTCGCAAAAGTAATCTTATTGAACTTTCCGAGTTTCTCTACATAACGAGAATCATCCTGATATCATCCTAGTGACTCTTTCCTATACTCCCTCCACCGCTTGATTTTTTTCTGTAAATGACCTATCCAAATCTGGACCTAATACCCCAACTGCAAACTAAGCAATGCATTGTATAAATTTAGTATCACATCTTTGCTCTTGTATTAAATATCCCTATATATAAAACAGATTCCCATTTAATTAAAAATGATCTTGCCTACAGGCATTCCCATTGATAAAGATGCATATATAAATGCACCCGTAAATCTCCGTTCTTCCACTCCATTAAGAATAAACACCGTTATGATATTTTCCAAAATAAATCTTTCAAAGTCCATTAGGTTTTGGCACAGCATCAGTTTCTAGTTGGTAAGCAATGATGAGAGAATAAAATAAGAAATGCCTTACCTGCCAGGCTACTCCTAATTTAGAAATCTCTCTGCCCGACATGCCTTCTGTCAGCTTGGCAAGCTCGGAACATTTCTTGCTGTAGTCAAACTGAGCCAGTTTCAGTCGCCTGTGAATTAGATTTGAAACGGTCATTTGATCTCAGGAAAGAGAATGTAGTGTGTGCATGTGCGAGTCACACATCAACCAAATTATTTATTGCACAATTTTTACATTTTTGTCACTAAGTTCGTTACACCTACACTCAAAAAAAGCAAATACAATACATTACAGTAAAATGGGATTTGTACATAAAATTGGTTGGCCTCAGGTGACGACTACATTTCTAAATAAATTGGTATTCATGCTGAACTCAACCCTTCTTCATACATATAACATTAGTCCCAACTGCCAAGATATACTGTATGTGAATAATAGATATTTGCACAATAGGCAGAAATATTATTGCTGGTTCAGCGTGTTCTGATATTTTGTCAAAAAGCCCAAATTAATCCTGAAATTCAAAGGTGGGAAATGCAGTTTGCAAGATGTTGTTCTGCCAATTGCAGCTCTCTCCTGGTGTTCAACATTTACATTTAATTTTTTAAAAATCTTATAGGCTTACTACCTGACAAGTCAGGGTTATTGTGACCCAATCAGTCTAAGAATTGTTGCTTAGATCAGATATCTGGACACCAAGTCCATCTTGTTTCACCTTGACCTTATGTCAGTTTTAAACAGAATAATAATTACGACGACTAATAAGCTAAGAAATCTGACAGGCTACAGTTAAAACAGTCATTAAATTGAAATAATCAATGAATAAAGATTTAAAACAGAAAAACAACGAACAAGGAAAGTGGTGAGGATAATCTATAGACATTACAAAACAGACGTGGGATGGTGGAAAGCCATACACATTGGATTTAGCTACTATACTGCAACTAATCTGTATGCCAGTTAACTGAACAACAGCACCTCCTGTATCCTTCATGCACACTCCTGGTGTAAATGAGAGCGTCTTAGTCTTGTCATCTACCTTCCACCATACGTACAACCGGACTGTGTTCCCCCACTCCCCTTGAGTTAGTGACAGAGCCCTGCAGCCATCTACACCAGTGCCAGCTGTGGCCCTCTGAGTGATGGCAATTGTGCCCCCAATGCTGCACACACTAATAGTACTTACTGTTTGCCCTCTGTGGCTGGCTTCAGGACATATTTATCAAAATATAACCTGACAAGTCGCTCCCTTTCGTCAAGTTTTGGCAGATCAAAGTTAACTATTTCATCAATTCGATCATTGATAGCCCAGTCAAACTGCTCCGGCTGATTACTGGCCAAAACCAGCATGAACCTGGAGATTAAAACAAACAAGGATCAATGCGTGAAATGTTAATTAACGGGAAGGAGTTAGTTAGTGAGTTTAGTAACCAGCAGAGAACCGCATGCTGGGCTTAGCAGATGTACTGACAAGAGAAAAAGTCTTAGCCCCAAAACAAAGTCTTTATATATACATATATATTAATAATATATATACACACACACAAACACACACCTCCGGTGGGTGGGGGTGGGAAGACAGGGGGAGTAGGAAAAAGGATTAGAAGGACAGCCAACATAGCACCAAATATTTGCAGCACTACGTGCTTTTCTTTTATATGGAAGATGAAAAAGATTAGGTAAAATAGAAATGACAGCTTTGGGTGGAGTACACGAGGCTCTGAACTGCATTGAATCCCACAAAGAGGAAAAGCAGGCCAGCAAATTTGTGATTTAAGTGACAGGGTTGTGACAAGATTTTTGTTTTTAAATATCCTTTTCACAGTTAAGTCATTGGCTTCTGCTCTGCAATAAAAGGATTTTTTTTAAAAACAGCTTCACTTACGTCCACACAAATGCAATGCATTGTGGAATCTAAGATTAGCAACATCGGTGCTGTCTAGCATCCAATTCCTTAAGATGAGATCATTCTGTCCACCGGTGAAATAATATTCAATGTATTATTTACACATGAACACAAACATTCCACAAAATCAATAACTGTTAATACAGTCACTGTTCGAGCGAAATTGAATCAGAACACTGAATTCCTGTTATGGCGACTTTCAATTTAATTATAAACAGATGCAGACGCCAGTCATTTTTCTCAAGAACATTCAAGGCAATTTGTTACATCTTTATGTTAAGCCTGCTGTTTTCAAAGTAGCTGCACTTACAGCTGATTGGTGAAAGCAAATGTAGAATGCACGAGAATCATAAGGAATTACGGCCCCTTATTCAGATATTATTATTATAATTGCTATCATCCGTTCTTGTCCACTTACTGCAATGCAAGACATACTGGAATGCTACTCCTCTGCAGAGCTCCCATCTGCTCTGAATGGACTACGTTTTGATCACAGTCAGGTAGAAAACTCGGCTCAAAATAAAATCAGCACGAGGCTTGATCTGATTGGAATCAAGATGCCAGTCAAAGTCACACTGGAATGATGAGTAACACGAGCTTTGAAAACCTCCAGCCAGAAGAGGCAAACAAAATCTTTAAGCAATTTAATACAGAAGAGCAAGCGACTGGCCAGGATCAGAATACTATTAAAAATATAGCAGGTAAATAATTAATTTCACTGACAGTTGATTGTGACCTTCCAAGCAATCAGTTTTACTAAATCATTCATTAACATTACTCAATCAACAGGCAATGGCTGGAAGGCTGCGAGGAGTGAAACCAGGAAGCATTTTTTCACACAAAGGGTAGTGGAAACCTTGAACTCTCTCCCCCAAAAGGCTGTGGATACATTTTTGTCAGGTAAGGGTATCAAGTGATACGGGGAAAAGGAGTTGAGATACAGATCAGCCATAATCTAATAGAATGGCAGAACAGGCTCTAGGGGCTGAATGGCCTATAAAGGCAGCAACTATGACACTAATTAGCAGAAGTGAAGCACAAGTACAGGCTCCAGATAGTATTCCTAGTTTTTGTTCCTGTTGTGTTCAATTCCCTTGATGAATGAGCAGGTGGCTATATCCCTAAACAGCATAGCTCAACAGTCACCCATAATTGAGGATGTTTTGCCAAGGCTAAAAAATATTAGTAGTGGCAGTCATAAATAACCCTTCCATTCTGATACAGTTCCCTTCACCTCAGAAGGGATGGCTCAAAGCACTTCACGCTATTTACTGTAGAATGCAGTAACTGTTTTGCAGATAAACTGTTTTGCAGATAAACGTACTGAAAACGATTACCAAGCAATAATCTAATGGGACTGGTTCAGCTTGCATTTGAAACCCAGACTTTGAAAGTTCTGGCTGCACACTAAATAAACTACATCTCCTTAAATTAGAAATTTGTATTAATTTGTTATGTTTTTGGAATGCAATAGCTAATATTTAGGGTTTGTCTTCACCATGTCTTGGTAAACTTGGATTATATCCCCTAGACCTTAATGGGCGACAAAAGGAGGGAAAAAATTATTCCATTCCCAGCATTGAGATCCCTCACTTGCTAAAGCACTCAAATTTAAATACTAAAGCACGTAACCTCCTATGCTGCCTACTTACTACACATTTCCAGCAGGTAGAACATACTACCACAATTAATGTCTTGAATCAGTGAGTAATCACATCTTCACTATCAATTTTAAGCAATTTGAATGCCAGACACCTTTGATGTTTTGCACTAATGTCTAATGTGTTGCTTTGGGTTTGCTGCTACACGGGTCAGTGGGAAGCATACCCCAAAGAGTTAACTGTACACCTACTTGTTGCTCTGTTCCCCAGTTCGATAAAGGAATGCATTCAGTGTGGCTCTGAGATCTTCACTAATCTTCTCCTAGAAACAGAAATGCAATTTTACCAAGGTTAGCATTTCTGAAAACATGATTCCAACTTGTGTAACCGAGGCAACCCGTTATATTTAGAATACTTTTCTATTGAAGAGTACTGCCTGTATCTCAAAGCAACTAGAAATTAAACACGGAAGCACAGTTATAAGGAACGGGATTAATTAGATTGTTCTTCAAGCGAACACGTATGGAGAGGATAGGCAGATATTATGTACAATTACAGAAGTCTATAAGTGTTCTGACATTATCATCAAAATATCACTTGACATTTTTAAAACATTTATTTAATGAAGTGAATGGTTTGTTTGTACTCAAACTATTTTCTACAGATCTTAAAAGATGTGTGCGTTTGCTGGGAGAAGGAAAAAGAAAGGGGTTGGGGGTGAGGAAAAGGAACCAAAAACTTACTGTTGATCTTTTTCGAAGGAATGCATCTGCTTCATCCACAAAGAGTAAAAGCCTGCGCAAACCAGATTTTAATCAGTGTCCCTTTACCAACTTCAGACAAACATATCCAAGTATACAAAGACCGTATTGTTGTACTGCAGACAATCCCATTATTCAGCATTGCTAATCTGTCTATAATCCTGACCAAAGGATAAAACCTTCATTAATTTCCATTAAAAAAACATTTTAAGATATGTTGTGACTTGGTAGTTCTTTCCTCGCTGTGCCTGAATTGATTGGAGTTCGGCCCAGATTGGGGAAACAAAAGCAAGTGTTCTCACTGAAAGGAGCGTGCAGCCTTTCTTGGGAACAAATGCACAACACAAGTCTACCCTAATTTAGGTTCACTCAGATAGGAGGCCCAGAAGGAAACCTCCTATGCTATGGAAACTTCCAGCTAGCAAGGTGATTAGAGACATCTCCTGCACATTGTTAATATTTTACATGCGTGAAGCGACATTAGCGGGACGGTCTGTTTATGGGGCACGTATGCATTGTACCGGACGTAATGTCAAAAGGCACCTTATGACCCGGAAGTAATAAAAATAACAATAATAAAAGTAATAAAATAATAAACAAAGCACCAGCACCATTATCATTCTAATATAAACTCACCCTCTTTTGCTGGTGGAAGCCCAATCAAAGACCTTGTGCATGGCTGTGACTCCTTCTCGGGCCATGGGAGCCACATCACCACCTGTCATAATAGCGTAATCCATTCCAGAATGTACGGCTAGTTTCTATCAGGAACAAAGACAGGAATCAACTCCGTACTGAGGGAGGATACCAGTGTAACTACGAGTTTACAAGGCAAAGCCACAGCTCAACAGGAACTAACACCTGGACAACCACTAGATGGGTTAAAAGTTTTCTTTTTAAAAAAAGAAAGTTTCATATTTTTGTGACGTTATCGATAATCACTTTCAAAAACACTATGTCTCCCCCCCCCGCCTCCCCGCCCCAATTATATTACTTCTGATTTTGTGAACAAGATTCAAAACCAGAAGCCAGAAAGATACTTTCTGAATTCAGACTTTCAAATACTAAATAATCACACGAAAACTGAACAAAGTACAGATCTATCCTTTACAGCTCCTTAAACCAATAACCCATAATTTACGATCACAGGATCTTGCAGTATATTAATGCTTACTCAGCTCCAGCCTCATATTAAAAAAAAGCAGGCTTTCAGAACTAACTCTATAGGTACATTATAAAGGGATAAATATAAACCTAATAGACATTATAATTTAAGACTTTTTTTCTTGATGCAGGTTAATGGCGTGAGATTTAACAAGATTCTAGTTATTAAGGAGTCAGGGTTATTTACCATGGAGAGAATTTCTATGAATCTGTGAAAGTGTTACAAGAAACTGTTGTTTCAAAACGTGACTGGCTTTGGAAGCAAGGTACCAGCAGACGCTACTGCTCAGCATGCTCGAATTCAAGCTGAGAAGCCTTTCTGACAAACAGCACCATCCAGTATAACAAGGAGGTGCAAAACAGCATTATTGGCAACTAGACCCAATCCTTCTCAAGCAACTCAAACACAGAGGTAACTAAAAATTCTAGTTTGATTGAAGACCTGGATGGAGAACTTTTGTGATACTCTGAGTCAATTGAGCTTGGGGAGGATGAAGTACGCAGAGCCTTTCATGGGCGAGAATTTGGGCTGCAAAGCTTTTGGATCAATCGAAGCCTCTGGAGAGTGTGGCTAAAAGCTGACAAACAGAGAACTGGAAAATCTATTCTTGAGGTGACAAATGGGACTGTTTTCAAGATGACACACGAATAAGGGATTCAGAAGCAGTGTGGCTTAGGTAAGGACATGACAGTGCAATGTTTCATAGGTAAAAGAAGGTAGGACGTGGTGATGGACCAGATATTTGGTTTGAAACTCAGCTCAGTATTAAGCAAAATACCAAGGCTCGGCACCACTTGGTTCAGCCTGAGCAAGCAAGAGCCAGAGCCGTTGATGGAACAGAGTATGAAGAATTTAAGCGCTTGCAAGAACAAAAACAAGATGAGGAATTGAAAGTAGTGGCAAAATATAGCTGGGAATCACCAGATTACATATGGAAGTAATCCCACTGCTTGATGCTGTTGTTGTGGGCAGCTTGTACGAGAGATATCAGAGGACCAGCCTTAAAATAAGCTAAAGATAACCAAGCAGGCAAGGGACTAGCCAGTGGAGCTATATGATTCAAATGAGCATTTTTAATACCACACATTTGCCATATAATTTGAGATTTAATAGAGCAGCGTGCATGCAGACTGAAACGTGTTAATACAAAGCAATCAAATGCTATCATTTGCTCAACACCAATTAAAAACACGTTATGCAGCCTTTTTTATTAGCCAACCAGGATCCTCACGCAGATTTTGTTCATATCTCTCTGTGGGTAGGATTTGGTTTGTTCCACATAAACCCCCAAACTAACCATATACTATCGTCTGCATCAGATTTCAGTTTAATAAACTTATTCTTCTGATCTTCTAAGTTAGAATCAATATTACCGGTTATCTCTTGAAATCCCTAAAGCAGCACCTACACTCAGCTTCCCTGCCCCAAAGTCGCTGGTGCAGCTGAAATGAAATGCAATATGATGGAAAACATTCCCTAAGTAGTTTAAGACAGACATATTATACGAATAAATGATTTCAGACAGATGGCCTCGCTCTAGGTTGGCATCTTGGGCTAAAAACAGGAAAGGATGCCTTGTGCACAGTTGGGTCTGTGCAAGGCTCTCAATATAAAACCTACCTTAGCAAACAGAGTTTTCCCTGTTCCAGGTGGTCCATACATGAGGATGTTTCTGTATAACCCCTTGTTCTTCTTGGTGTTTCTGGTTGCTATGGCAATATCTCGAACACGCTCCTCTAGTTTGGGCTGCAGTTCGAAATAAGAGCAAATGCAAGACACATCATGAAGCACATCTCCATTACTGGGTACATGGGGAACAGATGAAGCATATTCTCTCAATTGTAAAATATCAAATCAATAGCAAAGATGCAGAAACCTACACTGAGTACAACTCCCTCCAAAGCATCCTGTGGTTTGCTCATGAACCGTTTTCCAACCTGGAAGAGATGAGATGAATAAGCTTAAACATCAGAATACAATGCAACACTCAGCTTCACAATACCTATTCCATCACCCCTTTTGTAACTGATTTAAAAACAAATCTGTCAACTACAGGTTGTGGTAAACACCTAATTTACACCTCATCAAATATAAAATACGTTCTCAGGAACAAAAAAGATGTTAAAAGTGAGTTTTGGTGTGCAAGGAAAACTATAAAAAGGAGTATATAATTCAGCCTCTGCAGGAGCATTACTGTATTAGACTTGCTGTTTAAACCTTCATATTTCAAAAGAAATTATCAAACTTCTTTTGCTCTTTCCCCATTGATGGGATCCTCTAGTGGTTTCAGTCAAGAGCCTTCTTTCATATCAGTTGTAGTTTTTGAATATTATGTCATAGAATAGACAATGCAAAACATTTTAACGTAAACCAAACACAAGGCGTCCCCGTATTTTTGAGGCAAACTCTCTTACCTTGATCGGGTGCTTGAGTGCTTCCACTATTGTGAGGCGGGATGTGTCTCGCACCAACGAAGGTTTGCCCAGTCGCGCCTCAATATAGCGACCAGCAACTCCCGTGGCATTCTTGGCAGAATAAACGCCTACAGCCAGCAACGTAAGGCCAGCTACCTGAACAAAGAACACAAGGAAGGAAATGACTGTGATTTCCAGTCCTTAAAGATGCAAAAAATAGAACCTGATTGGAATGAAATTGCAGCCTGTAATTCCAGAGGACCTCATGAATGGCTCTTCTAAACATTCTGAACAATGCCCCTGGGAACTCAACTGCCTCTGAAAGTCAATCCTCCTGCAATTAATTCACTTACAATATTACAGCAGAGAGAAACTAAACTTACAACTAGGTCTACTGACTGGCAATAATTGAAATTTAGAATACTTTCACAGTTCCCCCCACCCCCACTTTCTGGACACTCACAGAGTCCACCTCCAGCACTTAAGCGTCGATGATACAAACTATTCTCCAATGTCTTCCCTGTTGAGGTTTCTTATAAAATGGACAATTTCCAGCAACCCTCAAGGCACTAATGCCAGCCATATTATTGCATCAGAAAGGTCACACTTTAAATTCATGCTCAATTCTTCAAGGTTTTCGGAAATAATTCTACGGCTTATTCTCTTTAATATACCCGGGGCATAATGACATTTAGCTAATAATACAGTACAAACTGCAGCTTAGAAGTCAAAAGTGTTACAAATCATATTAATCTGTCAAGCCTGAGCAAGACTGTGAAAACAAAATCCACCCTTTTTGACTCCTGCCCCCAGCTCGGGTGCAAGCAACTGTCCAGTGCCTTGGGTCGTCTTCCTGAAGCGAAAGGCGGTTATGTAAATGCAATTTGTCATTCTTCAGATCTTTGGTCAGTCATACCTCTGAGACCTACCTCTAATGCTTTACCAATCTATCTACCCGGCAGGTACGCCTGCTCCAGGTCCCCCGCCCTGTCTGCTCCAGAAACGCAATAGGGTATTCAGCCTTTCTGCCCCCACCCTCTGGAACTCCACTCCAGAGCCCCATCGCCTCACCCCCTCCCTCTTCACTGTTCAGCAGCTTGGGACCTAGCCGGAAATTACAGTTCGCTGAACCGATCGCCCCCATCAGTCAGGCTAGCTGGGGTTTCAGTGTAGTTTCATTTCGCTATTAGCATCACCTGGAAACTATACTTGTAACACCACAAGGGTAATCCTAGCATTTGATATAGCGTCTTACCACATCGTTGAGACGTCTCAAAACGCTTTGCGGAATATACTGTAAAGTGTAGTGACTTACCGTGGGCAAATGTGGCGGCTAATCTGCACACAGCAATTCCCCACAAACAGTAGTGAAGGGAATGACCCATTTTATTTGGGGCACTGCTGGTTAGTTCACCGGGAGAAACGTTTTGAACGGTGTTATGGGATCTTCTGTCCACCCGAGCAGGCAGATTGGGAATCGATTTAACGTCTCATCTGAAGGACGGCACCGATGACATTGCAGCACAGCCCCAACGCTACAATACTGTCAGCAAAGACCATATGGGTTCCAAGTCCTAGTGTGTGGCTTGAATCCACAACCTTCTGACTCCAAGGCAAGAGTGCTACCAATTGAGCCAGACTGACCCATGATCCGCCAGCCAACTTGTGAATTTTGCTGAATTGCTGGTTATTGGTCTCTACACAAAAGAAATAGGCACTCTGACAAACATGAACAGGAAATCCTTTAGAGGAATCCTTTCTGCATAGTTTAATGCAGATTATTTTCACTTACTGTGGCAGTCACTTTATCCCAGTCAGAAACAAAGGCACGAAATCCTTCCCCAAACACGGCACCTGCTGTCCTGAGAGAGAAAACATCTGAAATTATTCCTGAATCACAAAAGCACAAAGGCGCCACCAGTGACTAAGCAATCGGTGTCTGGAGGAACTATTCAGTAGTTTAAAGGACTGGAATTAAACAGAAAGACCACTTAGACCTTTGATGACATGAGCATTAAAGCAATCCCCTGTAGCAGCCACAAGACAAAATAATTCAAACAAAGGATCAGCTTAAAGATGCCAATTGCACCCACTCAAGAGTAACTTTACTCTTACAGTAGAGATATGGTAAAGCTGAGAGAAGGAATTTGAAGCTGGACTATATCGTAGCTGAATCAGAATTGAGCAAGTCAGAACTGCACAATTCATTCAGGCACATTTGACCTAATATCTTGCCAGGACGTGGCTTGTGACAGAAGTAAAAAAGGGTGTGGCTTTGTAATAATTCCTTTATTTCCCTTTAATTCCTTAATAGTGTCAAAATGTTCATCCTTGATACAGTTGAGAATCTGAGCTGCAGAGTTGTATCAGTAGTGTGTGCGGGTGTGGTCCAGTCAGTTGAAGCCTCCAGTCTTTTATTTAAAGTGAATGTTCATGCCCTCCCTGTACTAGGAACCACCAGCATCATCTAACAGCAAGTCACAGCACCGCTATATTAAGCAATATGCAACTCACAGCACTATGAGAAATCCAAGATGCATCTAAGTACAAAAAAAAGCTTAATATTCTCATTACAAACAAAACTTGGGTGTCCTGAAATCAATATAAAAATTGCTGAAATGTTTAGATTTCAGGTAACCCTCCCATTAGATCTAGACCTCCCATTAATTACTCTTAAATGAATAGCTTAATGGAGAATAATTTATTCCTGTTGTAATAAGCAGGAATCGTTGACGGAGGCAGAATTCTGCATTGATTTAACAGCAGCTTAAGCTATTTTCAGAGGACACCACAGGATTTTTAAAAATAAGTTGATGCTGCAATATTACAGAAGTCCTTGATGTATTCATTCCCCTGAGAACCAATGACTCAATTCCAGCTGACGAATCCTTTTGTTCTTTAGGCAAGTGAAAACCGAGATGTTTAATTACTATCATTACTACCCATTTGAAGAGATTGCTATTAATTTGCTAATGTCATTGCACTCCAGTGGTTTGCCATTGATTTGCCTCATACACTCGGAGAAAGCAGATAAAACACGACAGCAGTGCCGACAGGAAAATAGCCAATCAATAATTATTCAAGGTTGAAAAAATTCCCACTTACTTAATCGAATCCAAAACAGTTTGCCGATGCTCTGCAGCCTTCAGCCGGATCTGCTCTCGAATCAGGTCGGCGTTCTCTCTTTCAACCTTGGCACGGGCTTTGGCTTCAGCCTCAATCCGCAGCATCTCGTTCTTGTGTCGCAATTCCATCTCGTGCTCAATGGTGGCTGAGATTAAAAATTGAACCATAAACCATAAGGGGCTCTTGCTCATGGTGTCAGCAATTCCCACTAATTATTCAATAAGCATCGGTGAGCAGAGGTGAATTGTGGATCCCAACTAAGATTAAACATTAACTCTATGACTTTAAGTTTGTGATTTGGAAGTTTTTAAAAAGTTTTCTTCTAAATTGATCGAAAGCAATTCTTCTGAGTTTGAAATCAGAGCATGTTACCTTTCCGCATTGATTCTTGTTTCAGAACAGACTCTTCCTGTTTCCTCAAGCTGTCCTCGTTCAACAGTTGCTAAAACAAACAAGTTTATTATGCAATGTTTCTGCCCCAGCAAGAAAGAGAAGTTTACAGGAAATAACCTCTCCATATTTAAATAACATGCTGCAGAACAACATTGTGGAACTAACTGAGTTGGTTGTTAATTATGTACAAGAATGGATACCAGGGACCTAATCAGAGTATCTTAAGGGAATCTGTACAATGTTACAGTCAATGTCTTCATTCTTAAGAATATCTGGTAACCCAATGTAAAACCATGAATTATCCAAAACTCTGAAATCTAAGCAAACACGATTATTTGTTCCAAATTTTCAGAAACTTCCAATATGAGAATGCCAAAACAGCTTTCCCAATGGAACTATTCAGGACTGATCAGCACTTTACTGTGTTGCTTGCTGCAATGCCAGATCACTGGAATTTGAATGACAAATTTTGCAGCACCATCCAGTGGTAGAGAGCAAATACTGCTGCATTCACAGCTTTGATTTTTTGCAGTCCCAAGGGCATGTCTTTCCGAGAAGTGAAAGACAAAAAGTTTTAACGACCACATGTCAGTCACTCCACGCAAACCTGCAATTTCGCTCACATTCAAATTTCATACCTGCTGTCGAAGTTGGTCCTCATACCGCTGTCTTGCCAACTTATCCTGGTACTGAGCTCGCTGCGAAAGGAAAAGAAAGCATGGCTTCATCATTCAACTGAGCCAGAGAGACGTGCCATGTTTTGAGACCTCATTACAAGCGTAGAAATCATTACCCTCTAATTTAAAATATCCGTTGCATAGATAATTGAGGCGGTAACTAGTGTCCTACTCCACAACTAATTTTTCCCTTAACCCAGCAGAAAACATTCCCATCCCAACAATTAGAGCTTACTGCCTGATGCTGCCGAGTTTCTTCCCCCAGAGTTTTGCGCTTCTCTTCACCCTGCAATTTGATCTGTTCGCCTCGCAGTTGCTCCACAGCAGCTTCATATTCCTGTGAAGAATGTCCACAAAAAAATCCATCTTTAAGAATGTTTGATGTAACAAAGAATCCACACAGACTAACAGAACACTTTCACACATCTTTTGGAAACAACATGAGAATATGCAAATAATTAAAGAGATATTCAAGCTCAATATACCGCTTTCCAACACCAAATGACTTCCTAATATAGGTGACAGGAGCTGAGGATCAAACAAAACGAGAGCCCAAATAGACAGAGCCTTAACAGGTTCACAGCTAATCACATAATCTAACATAAATGGCTGCACTTTCATTTGTTGCATTCATTTAGCATTTTACCACATCAAAATCAAATCACTTAACATGTAAATGCGTTTCTAATAATAGTTCACCTATTCCCTAAAGTTTAGCCAGAATGCATCTTACAGTGCAAAAACAAAAGCAATCCAACATTGTTTTGGACATTACAATAACTTCAGATGGTGTTTACAGATGATCATCTGAGTGATCCAAATTGACCTGGATTGATCTGTCCTCCCACCCACCAAAGATCACTATTTAATGGTCCCAACAATATGCCAAAACCGCAAATTGTAGCCTGTACAAGAAAGTCTTCTTCAAGACCTCAAAAATTAAGACAATGTGCAATTACCTTCAGTTTGGTTTGATGCTCCAGCTGGACAGTTTGTTCCTGCATGCGAGCAAGGTCCAAAGCATCCTTGGAATGATCTAAAATATAATGAGAAAATAATGATTTACCACAACACCAGACTAAATATTGCACCCGGTCCAACTCCCATTCATGTGCTGAGCACATACAAATTTAAATTCAAATCATGGCAAGAGTGACCAATACAAAAGGGTGTACTGTGCAAGATAATGCCATTATGAGAAGCCCCAGCATAGCCTGGTCACACTGTGAATGTATACTGAAATATGGTACACCTCCAGTGCACAGTATGCAGGCACATAAGGCATTCCACCAAAGCTTACAAAAGTAGTTGATGGCTTCCTGTGCATGCACAAGAAGTGGCAGCAGACAACCCAAAAACACCGAACATTTTTATAGAGTGCCCCGTTATAATCCAGGTTCTAATTTTCTGGACCCAAACTATCAGATTACAATGGGACTGCCCTAAGGTTAGAAAAGGTCACTTTGTGTTATCAAATGTAGGGGGCCATTCAGCACATTGGCACTTGCTCAATTAATAATTAACAAACTGCTCAGCCTATCAAACTACGCTCCACAAAACCCCCAGTCCATTTAAACCACATTTTGGTCACTAATTTGAAAAAGTGAATCGAATTGGCATGACTGTAAACCAGGAGAGGCCAAGAGATAGATGGACATATAAACTTTAACTCAAATACATGAGCTGCACTGCTGGATTTCCATTTCTGTTCTTGATGTTCTTGCTTTTGTTCACCCTGCCCTCCACCCTCCCCAGTCCCAATCCCCAGCTCGGGTCCGAAACACTGACTGTCCTGCACCTTGGGACGTCCTCCCGATGTGAAGGGCTCTATACAAATGTAATATGTTGTTGTTGTTACTGTTGTTCTTGAGAACAGCACAGCTCATGAGCTCATCTCTAACCAGCTCAGTGGGTCTTGTGAAGGCCAGGAGGGCACAAGTTAGAGGGAACGGGCAGGGGGTGGGGAAGGGAAGCGAGGAAAAGGGACCAGCATTGATGGAGGAGGCGGCAACAGAGGAGGGAGTCGGGGAGCAACAAAGGCAGCAGGGAACAGGGGCAAAGACAGAAGTAGCTAAGGGGGGCAAGTGGCATAGATAGGAGTAGCTAAGGGGGGCAAGGGTCATAGACAGGAGTAGTTAAGGGGGGCAAGGGGCACAGACAGGAGTAGTTAAGGGGGCAAGCGGCATTGACAGGAGTAGTTAGGGGGGCAAGGGTCATAGATAGGAGTAGTTAAGGGGGGCAAAGGGGCATGGACAGTAGTTAAGGGGGGCAAGGGGCATAGACAGGAGTAGTTAAGGGGGGCAAAGGGGCATGGACAGTAGTTAAGGGGGGCAAGGGGCATAGACAGGAGTAGCTAAGGGCATAGACAGGAGTAGTTAAGGGGGGCAAGGGGCATAGACAGGAGTTGTTAAAGAGGGTAAGGGGCAATGGGGAGAGCAGGATCGGGGAGGGTGGGGGCGAAGAACAGGGAGCAGAGAGCAACATGTGGGGGTGGAGAGGACAAAGAGGGCAAATCTCAGGCAAGGACAGGGTGACCGCGCTGACTGATGCAATCGCTCCCAGAGAGCCCCCCCCCACCCACCCCGCCTTAACTACTCCCAATTCGGTGCTCGATCCCTTCTACCCCTCTAACCCCCTCCCTCGGCCAGACCCAGGCCCAGGCCAGGACTCTTACGGGACAAGTCGAGGTCTCGGGCCGCCTTGGCCGCGCGCTCCAGGCCGGTCGGGTCGAAGTTACTCCATTTGTCCTTGGGCTTGTGGTCCCCGTCTCCTCCCGCTCCCCCGGGCGGCGGCGGCGGCGGAAGAGGCGGCGTGAGGTCCCCGAGGCCGGTGGGGGCCGACGGCCCTTTATTTAGTCCGAAAAGCCAGGACATGACGGTTGGGGCCTTGGGGGCTCCAGAAGCTTCTGACAGCGGCACCACCACCACCACCAGCAGCAGCAGCACCACCTGCCACCGCGCGGACTCCCGCCCTCCCGCGTGACCTCGAAACCCGCCCCTCTGATTGGCTCGCGCCGCCTCCGAAGCCCGCTCCGGATTGGTCCAATTCGGGCCAGCGCAGTACGCCGCCCCGCGATTGGCTGCCCGAGCCGCACGCTTGGTGCTCGGGCTCTTTCCGAGGTCCTATTGGTCGAAGCGTCCAACACCCGCCCCCCCCGCTCCTCACTGTCTCCTCTCCTCTCCATCGATTGGCTCTTGGCCGAGGCGAGGGGGCGGGACTGGGGTGGGGGAGGGGGGCGGGACTGGGGTGGGGGAGGGGGGCGGTGACCGACCGCGCGCGGACCCTGCGCTCGGCGGCTCAACTGCGCATGCTCGGGGACGTCGGCGGGGCTGGTCTGCGTGAGGAGACGGCGTCGCTCCATCGCGCAGCAAAAAAATGGCTTCCGACGCGGACCGGCTCTTCGTGCTGCGGGGAGTGAGAAGCCCCCTGAGGTGAGCGCCGGCCCCTCCACTTTGTATGGTTGCAAGCGGGAGCTCGCGCAGCTCGAGGAATCGGGGCGGCGCGGGGGGGTGGTGGTGGTGGTGGGTGGGGGGGCGGGGGTTTGGGGTGCTGTCGGAGAGCCCCGGCGGCGGTTGCCAGGGCGGTTGCCAGGGCGGCGGCGGTTGCCAGGGCGGTTGCCAGGGACGCCGCCGCACGGCTCGTTGCCACGCGCCGCGCTTCCCTCCTGCGCTGCTTCACGTTGGGTGGCTCTTTGCAATGGCAGCACCAGCACAGCAGCACAGCACCAGCAGTAGCTGCACAGCAACAGCACAGCACCAGCAGCTGCACAGCAGCAGCAGCACAGCACCAGCAGCAGCACCAGCACAACAGCAGCACAGCAGCTGCACAGCAGCAGCACAGCACCAGCAGCAGCACAGCAGCAAGCAATCATTTAGTAATAATAGTACTAAACAACAGTAATAATGCTTGCATTTGATGCGGCGTCTCGTCGCGTCTTCGAGACGCCTCGCGGCGCCTCGCCGGGACACGTACCGCGACCGTATATTTTTTGCGGGCGAAACAGCGCCCCTCCCCCCCCCCCCCCCGTAAGCGCTTGCTGTCATTAGGGAAGGTTATGGGGTCTGGGGGCAACGGGGGCAGCAAATAAAATACACAGACCCGACAGGTCGCGAAACGCAGGGCACGCACACTCGCTGCACTTTACGGTGCGTCCCTGTGAAGCCTTTTGGGAACGCAGGAACAGGAGCAGGCCATTCAGCCCCTTGAGCCTGTTCCGTCATTAATAATATTAATAATCCTGGCATTTGATATAGCGCTTTTCACGTCTTCTCGACGTCCCAAAGCGCTTCACAGAATAGACTGTAAAGTGAATTGACTGTATATTTGTGGGCGAACGCGGCAGCCGATTGCGCACAGCAATGTCCCACAAACAGTAGTGGATTGAAGATGACCGATTTATTATTGTTTTTGTTTTTCGGAGGGATTATTATTAGGCTCTGTGTGGAGTAAGGAAACTTGCCCAAGGTTTCGCCCTCTGCCTGGAATTGAACTCAGGTCTATGTAAGGATTATTGCTTATTAGGGATAACATTTATACCTTCATCCTGGTTTACATTGCCCTCTGAATCCAAATTTATCCCCCTTTTTTTTCAATTACCGTAACAATGACCCATTTTGTTGTGTGAAGGTGGAGGATAATAAATTTGCCTTTATTTTCCAGAGAGAGGCCAAACGATTATCAGACAAACTCGCAAAAGACATCCAGCAACCGACAGCGAGTTCCCATGAACACATCAGATGACTGGATTGCATCAGTGGCTTCCAGGGATGATGCATCACTCGCTGAAAGACAGGCACTTGGTATAGTTTCAAACTCCACTCATACCAATCCCGCACATCCCCAGCCACAGTATGAATTAGATCAGCAATCTGTATATAGCATTTACCGAAAGGGCCATTCCTCCTGTTGCATTGTTCCCTTTGGTGGTCAGGCACTGCACTAAGGGACTGTCAAAACTTACAAATTTTAGAAAAATGTTTGTGGGACATTGCTGTGCACAAATTGCCTATTGCATCCGCCTACAAAGTACACAGTCACTAGGCTTTACCTTTGAAATGCTTTGACATAGCCTCCCGACGTGAAAATCAAATGCCAGGATTACTATCAATTTTTAAGAATAAGATAATCTTAAATTTAGACCTAAACTCCATCCCGGGCATCCCACTAAATTCTGCTAGCTGAAAGATGAGGCACTAACGTCTATTATGCGATATTAGTACTTTAAAAGTGTAGAAACATTTTCATTTGATGGAAGCGACATTTACTCTCCACGTGTTCTCTTTACCTCACAGAAATGGCTTTGTGTCACGGCACAAAGGACAACGACATCAGTGAGCTGCAGCAGAGTTTACGTGAACTTAAGGTTCAAGTTAACAACATGGCTGCCAGTCTCAACTCTGGATTTGTTTCCAAGTACCACCAGAAGAGAGATTCGCAATGTGTCTTCGGGTCCCATAACCCAAACAGCGACTGGTCTATTTTGCCTAATGAGGCAGCCCCCAAGGTGGGTGCACTTGGTCACTCAACCTCCACAAAGCGGCCCGAGTGGTTAGAGAAGCCGTTGGACAACTATCGGGTACTCTCGGGTTTGGCAACTTGCGTTCAGCCTGCCTCACCAGCTGGTCAAGCAAACGGCCCTGCTACAAGCGAGCTGACCACCAAACACCGCCCGACCACCACGAATTCACCCCTAGACATTGTGCACAGAAAACGCTTTCCTGTTCAGATCGGTGCGCCACATGTCATTGGAGTCAAGGCCCTGCTTCCTCCGAAATTTCCTGTCAGGTACCAAACCCCTGAGAGAGCCAGGTCGCAGCTCTTCAGAAGCCGATCTTCATCGCCCAGTCGCTCTGGGGATATTCAGTCGCGTTCTCTGTCTCCGGCCCCGAAGAGAGCTCGCTGGCAGCGATCCCGTTCACAGTCTCCAAAGCCCATCTGGAGGCCGAGTTCTGCTAAGGTGAACGCGTGTGGTCGGCCCGTGCCTCCAGTTAACGCTCGGACGTCAAGGGGCAAGAAGGTAACTGTCAGCAGGCACTGCAGACCACGTTTCTCCAGACCCGTCCAACACTCGCATCCCGCATCCAGGAGGAGCTGCGACCCACTATGGACTCCATGCGGTTTAACAACAGCTGCTGTCTCGCCTCCACCCACTCAGGAAATCAGTGAAACGTAATTATACTTTCTCGGTGCACCCTTTAATGCTTCAAACCAATTAGAATGTCAGCTTATGTCAACATGCGCTGGTTATCATTGTCAAACACGGACCCTCGTGGCTATCGAGGGCTACCCAACACCGTTAAGAGCTTTGAATCACGTGCCTATAGTTCCACGTGTCAGTGATGAACAGAGTCTAAAACGTGATATTCACAAACCACAAGGACTGCATTCATTGCAACTCGTGATTTTAAGATTCGGAAAGAAAAAAACTTTCAGGTTTCGAATCCAAAAGGTTGGCACAGCCCACAGCCCTTTTAGTTATAACACCCGTTTTCTTGACCTCAAATTGGTAAATGGTTGAGTGAAACCTTCTGGATCTGGATTTACCCAGCCACTTGAGTCTTTGGGGGACATTTGGAATTAATCTGAGGGATTTTCACAATTAAGCAGCAAACAAGTTTAGCAAATCTGTTTTGTTTGATTAAAAACGGATGCGCTTCCGGGGATTGTGAGTAACAGTATAACAACTAGGAACCAGGTGCTGGGCTTTCAGCCATTTGATGTGCATATGAACATGATTAGTGAGGAAAGTGCAGTGTCACATAGCCTGAAGACTATTGTGTTAAAACTTAATATTGTGCAGAAGATTTGGAAATGCAACTTAATTTGGAAACCGATCCCTTTGAAGATTTACAGTCTTCAAAAGTCTTTTGAAGTCCTGTAACTCAGTGGTTAGAGCACTCACCACACGAGCGAGAGGACCTGGGTTTAATTCCCGGGCAGGGCAAAACACTGGGCAAGTTTTCTTACGCCACACGCCTCTGTTTATCTCGCAGTAAGTAGAACCCGGTTATTAGTCGATTGGTGGATTGCTTTTTTGGGGTTGGCTGCCGGGTTTTGCCCACAAAATACACAGTCACTCCACTTTATAGTATATCCGGTGAAGAGCTTAGAGACGTCTTGAAGACATGATAGGGCGCTGTATCAAATGTAAGGATTATTATTATTATTACAGAAATTACACATTCCCAAATAAGACTGAATTTAAATAAAACTCCAAACTCTGCACAATCTTAAATTGTCAAGACAGTGAGAGGCGCTGAAGGCTAAGGCTAGCTAGACTTTTCCGCTCCCTCTCTGCTGCAGGTTCTTCCAGTGGCTGGCAGAGGGTGACCTAAGACATTCTTTGGAGGAGACGTCTCTTCACCAAGAGGAGTTGTCTCACCTCAGGCTGCAGCGCCTTCGTATGGACGGCGAGACGTTCCTGGAGCTGAAAAGGCAACGAGAACAGGAGAGAATCCGGGGCCCAAAGGCAAAATGGTAAGAATGCGCTACACTTGTCCCTTTTTTTTTGTAGTTTTGCCCAGAAAATATACAGTCAATTCTCTTTACAATGTATCCCGTGAAGAGCTTTGAGACGACTCGAAGACCTGGTAAAGGCGCTGTGTCAAACACATGATTATAGTCCACAGGTCAAATTTTGCTTCTTTTCAGGTACGAGATGAAAGGATCACAGTTTCATTATGAAGCGCGGAAGAACAACATCGTGCTCCAAACCAGAGCGGATCAGCAAAGTCTTCAACCACAGAAAGGATGTAACAACAATAACAACTAGTGTCTAGGGAATTCACTCAAAGTGCGGCTCAGTGATTCACGATCACAAGCTGTTCTTCAGGTTTCAGGGTCAAACCACAGAAAAGTTTTGGCGTAAAACATTTTCGAAAAGGTTTTCGAAATCTGCACAACTCTAGAAATTCACTTTTGTCACTCTGTTGCTGTTGTAACTATATATTCCCTCCCACTAACCCCCGACTAGATTGTTCGGAAAAGAACACAAAATGGACATTAAGAGTTCATTTTCACCCTGTACGGTTTAGCTTCTTTGCTGAATCCAATTCTGATTTCAGGTCGTGCGGCATTAAGTCAAGCTGCAACTAGGATGATTCAAGAGTTAAAGGCTTCAGGAAACATTCACATTGTTTGCGGAGAATAAAGTGAGTGTTGGTCACGTCTGACTGGAGTGTATGTTTCCTCTGAGAACCAAAGGGAAACTCTATCACTCTTCCTTAAATCATTCAAACTCTGTGCACGGATATAACTAAGTCATCCAGGGAACCTTTAAGGGTTTTGTGCCATTTGTAGTCACTTTTATCAGATGACCTTCCAATTCTTGCTCTCTGCTCATTGCTGGCAGCATCAGTTTTCTCTCTGCCTCTATTTTACTCCATAAAAAAAGTGTCATTTATTAAACCCTTGTGATTGACAATTTGTTAAATGAAAACGCTCGCTGCAGCATTTGTTATGTGCGTAGACCATTTTTTTCGCTTCCATGCAGAATTTTAACAAGAAAGTTGCTTTTACCTTATCATACACCTAGAGATTTCTGCACTAGTTTGACATAGGTTTACTGCCCTTTGGAACCCAACACATAAAGAGAAACTGTGGCTTTGCTGGTATCGTGCAGAGGCGTGATAAAATCATTCAAACTCTGTACACAAATAGGAGTGTATAGGTCATCCTAGAAAGGGATGATACATCATCCAGCGAGTCTTTAAGAGCTTTGGCCATTTGTAGCCACTTTTATCAGATGACCCTCACTTAAGATTCACAATGTAAGATCATCGTTATATACCAGTTTTAACGTCCTATGATAATACCTTGGCAGGAAGACAAATTATGAGAGTGCATTTAATAATAATAAAAAATAATAATCCCTCGCATTTGATATAGCGCCTCATCGAGTCTTCGAGACGACAACAACAACAACAACAAATTACAATTGTACAGCGCCTTTCACGTCCCAAAGTGCTTCACAGAATATGCTGCCAAGTGAATTGATGGTGTATTTTGTGGGTGAAATTTAAGAGTGAACTCGCGAGATGAACTTGCTCTTTCTCCCTGCGCTGCCTGCCGCAAATTGACTTATTCTTTAGTCTTAAGTATGGCCTTCCCGAGGGTTAGGGAGGGGAAAACAAGCCATGCTTTGTGCTCCTGGCCCTTCTGCGATGCCCTCTACGGGTTGCGTGCATGTATAGCACGTGTGAATGGGAAGCAAGTCCTTACCGGGAAGCCAGCTGGGAACGGGATGCTGGAGCTCTCTATATCTCTCACTCTCTCTCCCTCGTCCCGTTGCGGTGAATGAGTGGCAGGGCAGGGCACCTCATGGCCAATACCAGTCGGGCTGCAGCTCTTGTTTTCGAGACACGTTAGTTTCTAAAGTTTCACAAAATCTGCAGCTGCTCCTGTCAGGCTGTTACTCACCGAGACAGGGGGCAGTTGGGTCAGTATTGGGATCGCGTCATGTTTTCTCCACATTCCAAAGCCGCAGCTCCTTAAAAGGAAGTGTTCCTCCTGCATGTGCGCCCATGTTGTCTGAAAACACTTTACGTAAACATCCCGTTAGTAAACGATAAGAGATATTTGGGTTAGAAAATAAGATACACACACACACACGGACACGGACACACACAGGAATTATTGATGAATTCAACATGCAAGGGCAAAAGAGCGAGCAGAGAAAGAAACATTAAGAACCAGCTCTGATTCCGATCACAAAGTTTCACGTGCGGTTCTCTTGGTGCAAGGCGAGCCAGTTTGATGGAGGCTAGGGATGTCTCACAGCAAGTGAAGGAAGGAGGATGAGGGAGAGGGTGGGGGGGTAAAAGACACCAGTCAATTCTTCCAAGGCCACTCATGTGCCAAGTACTAATCATTGCAACCCTACCGTCCTGGTCACTCCCCCACCTTATCTGCCCCGCCTTATCTTTTAGCCATTCTGCCCCTGCTCTCTGGGATCCCAGAGACCCTCTCCTTGGCTCGCTCCCTCCCAATTTTCTAATCCTACCCTCCCTCAACGCTTAACTTCTTTGGCCGTGCTTTCAGTCTTCTTTGCTCTCTCCCACGCCATCCTCTTCAGCTGCCCAGCCAGCTGCGTGAAGCGGTTTGAGACTTCCTCGCTAACCCAGAAGCCGCTAAATAAAAGTCGATCGGACTGTATTGTATTTCAGGAGCAGTGTTTTCCGAATGATTCTCACGCCCGAGAGAAATAAGCCTTTCATTCAATGTATCGTCTGTAACGTCGAAACTTACCCACTCCTTTTCGTTGACTGTCTTTTTTAAGAAAAAAAATGGATTTCCTGTACAAACTCACCCGAGTATGTCTAAACCCGTTCAGGTTTACGGGAAGAGCTGAGGCAACTAATAGACACAGCAATTATTGAGTGTTGCTACTTTTACAATACAATCGTTCACATTTTAATCTGATACGAGTTAGATTACAGTGAATGCATTTAATAATACATGCGCAGAGATACGAACAGTCTGAACTCTCCCTCTACGTTCGCCACTTCGAGACACTGCCTGGGAGGCACGGAACAAACCGAGAGTTGTATTATGTATGTATCACGTGTGAAAAAAATCTCCCGCGGGTTTTTTTTTTTGTGTCTTCTATCAACTGGACGCACGCACGTTTAAACGTGTAATTCGCATTTCAAACGGTTCCGTTTTGGGAACAGTTTGGACTGTTCCTTCGATACTGCACAGAGACACAGAAACCATGAGTTAACTCGCTGAATCAATGCACATCCCCAACATTATAAACTGGGAGTTTGGAAGTTCCAGGAGACTTGAAAGAGAGAACACTCAGTTCCCATAACATATCCCAGCATCTTACAATACTGACAAGGCTGACTTGTCTTCCGACCTGATCTGATTAAAGTCTGCGGATCCATTTTATCAACACCATCTAGAGCAGTGTCTAGCTTTGGCTGAGTTCTCGTGATGGTGACGCAGCATGACTCAATAATTCAGGCCGCTTTGCTAACAGTCTCGACCTTTCGTGCAGAGAGATTTATTGGATCTGGTAGCTGGCAAAGAACCTAAGGGAGGAGAAAGTGGCAACGGTTAGACCGAGCTTATCTTTGATCGTAGCTCAAACAAAGTGACTGCCTTTTACACGCGGTATCCAAATGCAAGTGCCGTACTTTCTAATCAATGCAATATTATTGATGGACTGTGGGACGCTGCTGTGCGCAAATGGCTGCCGCGTTTCGCCCGCAAAACACACAGTCACTCCACTTGACAGTGTATTCTGTGAAGCGCTTTGAGACGTCTCGAAGACTTGATAAAGCGCTGTGTCAAATGCAATGGTTATTATTATTATCATGATCACGGACGGCTATCAGACCTACCAAACTGGTTGCCTGACTTCCTGCAGTGGCCACTTCCCTTTTCAGACTTGGCTTCAACACAATTCTGCGTTGCATTCACCACGACCGGATCTGTTAGTTGCACACTCCGAGCCGGTCGCTGTGCGGCCTCGGGGGGTCTTCTGCCCGCCTGTGGGGGGCACGTCACCTGGTAGTTGAGCACTCTGCCGTGCGTAGGGTCCCAGGTTGCCACCACACTGTCGGGTGTGATCTCGTAAGGCCACAATTGACTCACTGCAAAGGACCAGAGCAGAAAGCACCAATGAGTCAATGATCAATTAATTGGTTGTTGGTCGATTGGCGGAGGTAATAATTCCTTCTAAAATAAATAAACAAATTAACAATAATAATAATGACGTGATCACTCAATCCACGACTGTTTGTGGGGACGCTGCTGTGCTATTCTGTGAAGCGCTTTGAGACGTCGCAATGATGTGATAAGGCACTAGATGAAACGCAAGGATTATTAGCAGTAGTGGTGGTAAAAATGTAAATAGTTGGGATTATACCATAAGAATCATTAGTATTGATCATGTAGTGAATAGATGAAATAAGTAGAATGAATTAAAAAAATAAAAACTGCCATTTAGCACACACACATCTACACACACGCGCACACACACACACTACAGTCCTAGTAAAGAGACACCGAGCTATGCAGGAGGTTACTGGAATGTGACTCAAGGCCAGCGAAGATAAGGATGCTGGATCAGGAGGATGGATGGTAGGGCCATCTGCGCTTACAAGGGCAAGTGACCTACCGGCAGGAGAGACAGGAACCTGGGATAATTGGACCAGGAGAATGGATGGGAAGCCAACTGTGTGGGCAGGGATACAAGATCAGCAATTAAAAACCGAGGAAAAGCTTGAGATCAGCAGGTCAGGTGGACAGAGTCAGAAAGGAGCAAAATGAATTACTGAAACTTCAAGGACATGGAGTCAGGCGCCTGGTCGGGCTGGATAAGGTGGAATAGGAGGAGTATTGTTCTTTTGCAGAAGGTACCACTAGTCGGTACAAGGGAAAACAACTGACAGATAGGAAAAGAATGCCGGGGCAAAAGAGCAGGGATTTAGAACCGACAATTAGAGAAAGAAGTAATGAGAAGAATGCAGATAGAACGCAGATGGCTGGCGACAAAGGGCTATAAAAAACGGTAGCCCAAACTTAGAAGTATTCGAGCCTCTGAGGAGAAGAAGGGGACGAACCTCTACGGAGAAGAGTGCCTTTGAGGGAAAGAGGACAAGTCCAGCCCTTGCCGGAGTGGACCACCAAGAGATGTTTGCAGCCAGCCAGCAGCAAGGCCAGAGACAGGGTTTAACTTTTTGTGCCAGCCTTAGAGCTTCGTCACGACTTCCTGCCTGCTCGGTAGTATCTCTCCTACGTACTAAAACACGCAGCCAACATAACATGTAGGAGCAGGAGTAGGCCATTCGGCCCTTCGAGCCTGCCCCGCCATTCAATCATGGACATACATACATACATACATACATACAAAACAGGTAGAGATTATTTAGGCACATTTCATACATCACATATTTTTTTGTATTAGTTCAGAATGTTAATATTGAGCGTATCTTGTTACGGTAGTGCTTTCGGAGTCACTTAAGCGAGACGAGGCGAGACAAAGTGACATGATAATGCATCGGGTGTGATATGATGCTTATGCTTGTGTGTCATTATAATTGCCAATAAAACATTTTAATAATATCCTTGCCTTGGTAAGGTTTCTGACAAACTCTTGAACCCAATTTTACACAAATTCAACTCAGGGATTCGGGCGATACATTGAAAAGCACAATCACTCGTCTGTGTCCATGTTTACTGAAACGCTGGATGGCAAAACTTCAGAACAGATTACGCCTTGCGCTGCTAATGCCTTTTCTCTGCCAGATAAAGATGATTCCAGGCCAAGGGAACTGTCTGACTGTGAACCTGTGAGACAGAGCGTTCCTGTGAGTGAGCTCGGTGCTGATTTCAGAGCTATAGAAGGCCTGCGACATACCGTTAGACATGAACCATTCTCAACATCTCTCACTTTGGCCCCTTGCCCACTGTTGGGAGCACATGCCTCTGAGGCAAACCTTCCATTGAGTTTGATATATAATCTGGCACCTCATTTCAGTGCCAGAACAACACTGTGGAGTCCTATAGGCGCAGTGGTCCTATCAGAGCCCTGGGACGTCCTCCCGACGTGAAAGGCTCTATACAAATGTAATCTTGTTGTGGTGGTGGTGGTTCGAGCACTTGTCTTGCAAGCGAGAGGACCTGGGTTCGATTCCCGGGCGGGCAGGGCGAAACCTTAGGCTGACCACAACATGGTGGGGCAAGACCTCGTGTGGAATAAACCAGGATTTACCGCAAATCTTACCAGAGCCTGAGTCGGAGAGCTCCCGGGTACAAGCTTTCGCCGACAAAGCCTTTTCTCTGCCAGATTTGTACAAGGCCGACACAGTGACCAGATAGGTGGTGCTGGGCTCCAGTTTGTTTAGGACTACAGTGTTCTGCCTCCCGTCCACATGGAGGGAGCTGGGCTGTCCACTCGGCAAGACCCCAAACACCACCAGGTAAGAAGCAATGCTCTCGGGAGTTGGAGCCCAGCTGACACGGAAACCTTCAGAGCTCGACTCGGAGATGACGATCGACACTGGGCTGTCTTCCCCTGTCGTCGGGCAAAATAAATCATTTCCCGTTAAACTCTTCATTCACTTTAGAGGTATTTCAGATATCCTCTTTATTTTAAAAACAAAATATGCTTTTCAGGTTTTTAAACCCTTCGCTTATTTCCAAATTGTTATTAATAATAACCCTTGTATTTGATATAGCGACATGGTAAGATGCTATATTAAATGGAAGGATTATTATTTTTTAGTGTCGCTCAGCCTGACTGGAGTGCAAGTTTCCACTGAAAACCAAAGGAAAGCTGCACCACTCCTCCTTAAATCATTCCATCGCTGTATTCTTATGAAGTCTGATGGAATTTACAATGTAAAACTTTGGGCCTAAAAGTATTATTCGCATTGCCACAGGTTAAGAAACCAACTAAATGAACAAGGTTTCAAGATTGGGAAGTTACAGCGAATTTAATTGTGATCCCGTCCCTTGTCACGGCATTAACAACGCACGGTTAACTTCACCACTTACCTTCGCGTGTAGTTACCTTGGTTACTAGCGGTTTGATATTGTTTTCATCATTCATAGGGGTAAGTCTCACTTCATAGGTGGTCTCTGGAGATAGCTGGGTCAAAACAGCACTTGTTTCGTCTCCCGCGACCAATTTCCGCAGTATTCTTTGCGAGTCGGGTGCTGGATTGTATTCGATCAGGTAATATTCTGAGCTACTTCCTAACAGCTTGGGCCACAGCAAGCGAAAGCTGGTATCAGTCACATCCAGGGCTCTCAGTTTCTTCACTCGCATTAGATCTGAAATTGATGAGAAACAAAACAATGCTCGTGTTGGCTCTTTGTGGGACACTTGCCGTGTGCAAATTGACTGCCATGTTTCCGCCTTACACAAATACACAGCCACTTCACTTTACACTATGTCCTCCAGCACTTAGCCCCAGCGCACACTCTGGGCTCCCCCCCCTCGCAATTCTTGGCTCTTGCCAACCTGCGCCTAATGCTTTCCGGAATTAGGTAAGCGGGGTGGTGGGGGGGGGGGGGGCGTCCCTCCAGCGAGAGAGAGAGAGAAAGAGAGAGAGAGAGAGCGCATTCCATTCCAACAATCTCTCTCTCTGCGATTTCCATGCGTGGGGGGGACGCACAGAATTCTTAGTTGGGTTTGGATACCCTTAAGCAACAGTGATGGGTTTGTGTCAAACACCCATCCGGCTGACACGCCCGCAAAAAATATGTCCTGTGAAGCACTCTTCCTGATCCACATCTTCCTGATATGAAAGTTCCTGCAGCGGAGACAGCCTTAACTTCTCATCTTATTGATCTTAATTCCCTGGGAGACTCCCCTCACCTCCGGAAATGCTCCAACTGAACATATAGAAGTTCTGCTCTCGCAAACGTGACAGCAGCCCACACCATAGAGAGATGGTCATTGGCTGCGATTGCACCCACGCTGAGCTCCTCGTTTCCATCGCTATCTTATGGCCATTTGCCAAAATTGAGGCCACGAAAAGGGGGAAAAGCAACAAAAGTAATATTTCCATGAAAGCTATATATAAAGTGCTTTCTTTTGTTTCGTGGATGTGGGGTTTAGGAGTGTCTGTTTGTGCCGTTTCCTCTCGCTAGGCAGCAAAAGGAGAAGGGATGGAATTTAATCTCACTTCCGCCTGCTCTCAACAGCAGGTGGAACCCATACAGCTAGGTATCCCGCATCCAGAGCTCCAGCAGGATAAAGGCGAGATATCATCTCTGTTAGCAATAGACAAAGTAAAAGGATGATGGCATTGTTGACTTACTAGTAGTGTCCATTGCAAGTCTATCAGCTCAAACACAACCCTTCTTGAACTCGCTCCAAAACACTTGGGGGTCTAGTATAATCATGCAAGGATTATAAAGGCATTATTAAAAAATCCAAGTACTTTTTGTTTTAGAAAACACAGGGATCAAGTTTCAACTGCTGCGAATGTTCTTAATGCTCTATTCAACCTTAAAAGATCTTTTGGTGATTTGCCAATTTCAGTTGGTTTTCCTTGATATTCCTTCAAACTGAGAGAAGCCTTCCTAATCTGAACAGCTGAACGAAGATTGTTGATAGAGATTCCTGTGTGTTTGGTGTGTATGTGTGTGTACACAGGGGTGGGGGGGAAGGGGGGAGGCAAAATGCCAGCTCAAAATTGATGGAGTTGCATCACTAAGAAATAATCTCTGCAATTTCTTTTCTTTTTACCCCAAATGTCAGAGAGCAAATCAGGGACTCTTGCTATTTGCTCTCTTTGTACTTGCTGCAATGTATTTACAGTCATTGCAAACCACTTCTCTGTGTACTGGTGGTGAATTCCATCCTTATCCGCCTCCAAGATTCCTGCCCTTCAATTCCCTGCTCCGATACTTGTGATCCATCCTGCCTCCTCAAGCCAATCCTGCTCAGTCCAGAGGCCATCCCTCTTAAAGCTCCCTGACTTTGGTGAACTGGACGAACAGCAAACCGATATCCAAAGTGAAGACAAAGATGAAGATAATAATCTTTGCATTTGCTGTTAATAATAGTCCTTACATTTGATATAGCGCCTCACCTGCCACTGTCAAGTGCTCTGGGACCCTGTCCTGCATGAGGGACGCTATATAAGTACAAGTTGTTGTGGGTTGTTGAACAATTAAGAAAGGGTCCACTGGGCTCAAGGCAATGGTTTGTCCCGGGCCGGAACGACTGGGAAAGACAGAGACAGTCTGCAAGTCTACTTACTTAGAATCTCGTATCGTAGTTCTTCAGTGATGACAAACATGTCATCGGAGTCTACATAGTAGAGATGTTTATCCGGTGGCTGGCTGGCTGCGTTTTTAAGCTCAAGGTAATTACCCCTTCCAATGCTGACAATGAACCTGGTCACACCCAGGTCATTGAGCTGTTGTATGGGCCCAGAGATGTCATCTGTCGAAATCCCATCGGTCAGCCACAGCACCACCTTGGGGAGGTCTGGCCTCGAACCGGCTTGATGCGTAAACATGGTGTCGGCAGCGTGAGATAGGGCCTTGCCCGAGTTAGTGTCCCCCAGCTTCTGTTTCATGTTCAGGAGAGCCCACTGCAAGGCAGAGTCCGACGTGTACTCATCGAAGGGGAACTCCACCACAGGATCGTCGCTGATGTGGACAAAACCGATTTGGATGTCATGGGGCCCGATGGGGAGCGGTCTCACTAAATCCGCCACAAAGTTCTTCATTCTCATGAACTCGTAAGGGGAGATGCTGCCAGAGCTGTCCATCAGGAAGAGCAGGTCCCCTTCCACACCATCTCCAATCAGGTCAACCCCTGCCAGAGGAAGCCCACAAGTTACTAAATAATCTTCGCCATCAATAATAATACTTAATAATATCCCTGAATTGGATATAGCGCATTCTCAGTCGTTGGGACGTCTCAAAGCGCTTCACAGAATATACTGTAAAGTGTCGTGACTGTATATTTTGTGGGCGAAACGCGGCAGCCAATTGCGCACAGCAGCGTCCCCACACAAACAGCCGTGGATTGAGTGACCAGATTATTATGATTATTATTATTAATCATTTTTGGGGAGGGATTATTACCCCTTGGAAATCAATCTTTCAATACAATGGAAGAAATAAAAAAACAATAACGCACCTTTCACAACCCGAGGCTGTCTCTAAGCACTTCACACAAGATTTAGATGAGACGTTAAACCTGAAGTTCCCATCTGCACGTTCAGGTGGATGTTAAAGATCCCATGACACTAATCGAAAAGAAAAGGAAGTTTCTCCTGTGTCCTGGCCAACAATAAAATTGGTCACTCAGTAATCCGATACCTGAGCCACAGTATTCCAGGACACTGCTGGTGATAGACCAGACCAGCCCAGCCCGTTGGCAGGACTTTGATGAGCAGACTGGTCAGTGGAAGTAGGGATTCTTCCCACTCCAGCAAGCCAAAGCCCTAACAGGTAGGGTGGCCTTAGCTTGACAAGTAAGGGGGAAGTTTGCCAGACCGTGCTCTCAGCGGCAGGCTAATCATTTGTCGCTGGTTAAGCCCCAGCAGAAGGTCCATGCTCACCCTGTGCTCCCCAAGACTTGGCTCTTACCAACCCGTGCAAAATGACACTCTCCGGATTGAGGTGAGAGCTGGGTGCTCGCTCCTCTCTTGGGTGGAGAGGCGAGAGCGCACATTCCGTTCCAGACACAGAGATATTAGGGTGTGCAGTGGTACACATATGTAGAACTCTCAGCCTGCTTTTGGATACCCTTGAGGACGGCCACGGGTTTCTGATTGGAAAGGTAAACCCAGATCAATAACTTTCGGACGCAACAAGCCAGCAGAACAAGAGGACACGGGTTCAGAGTTGGAAAGGGCCAATTTCAGGTCTGAGACCAGCAAGTTTTTCTTTACTCAGAGGGGAATCAACGACTGGAACAGGTTGCGAAGAGAAGCTGTAGAGGCCAGGACACTGGGACTCATTTAGAAAGCAGCTTGATGGAGCGAAGGAACGGTGGTGGGTGGGTGGGGGGGGGGGGTGAATGGTAGGGCAGGTGTTCTGGAAGGATGATATCGAAGGGCCTTCTTCATCCAAACCAATCTTGTGATCTTATGATCTTGTGATGTGTCAGACAGACAGACGGCTGACCAAAAAAGTCCTGCTGTTGCACAGCTCTGACGCCACAGGGGAGAGAGAGACAGAGTCGGTGTGACCTGAACTTAGAAGTTCTATTTTTATAACTCTTTTCCTCTCCACCTTAAAATTAACAGCCTCCTCTCCTCCTCTACCTTCACCCCAGGACCTGGCGACAAAGTGCCAGTCTCGCAAGCAGTTCGGGGTGGGGGTGGGGGGGGGGGGGGGGCGAGCCTTCGGGGTTAACGAATGCGGGCCGAGGAAGGGTTAAGCTTAAACGGGGCCCCCAACCTCGCAGCGAAGCTTGGACCTTTAAACAAGCCACGATGACAAACCAATGGAAAGTTTCCAGGAGTGACTGTGACTGCCTGAAGACAACAGCCAGTTCCGTCCTCCTCCACAAGCTGCATGTTAATTGGCATTTAACAAAGGCAACGGGTTACAGTGACTGAGTTGCAGTCACAGCTTGTTCCTTCACTTCTGAACCACAGCAGCCTTTGCCTGTGAACCGCAGAGTGTTTGACTGGGTAACTTGTACTGTTCAGTGGATTGCGAGCCCGGTGAGTCAATAAGGTGCGTCTGTACTTATGCTTCGGAGGGGGGGTGGGGGGGCCTTTGACCCGTTTCAGCTACTGTAATAAAATGACTCACTATTAAGCAAATACAATCCACGTCTGTACAGCGCTTTTTTTTTCACACACACACACACACACGACGGGAGGATGTCTCGAAGAGCGCTGGATGATTACCCCTTAGCTGTGGGCGGGAGACGAGGTCAGATTGAGATGTGCTTTGAACAAAGGGTTAGGGGAAGAGCGAGTTGGAGGGGGGCTCCGAGAGATCGAGTTCCAGAGAGCGGGGGAGGAACGATGTGCGTTTTCTGGAGCGCCGTCTCACTTTGAAACGTCTTGAAGGGTAACTGCAGCCGGCCGGACAGTAAGATCCCACACACAGCCTTGAGGTGAACAACCAGTTAATCTGGAGGATTGCTGGCCAGGACATTGTCGTGAGAAGCTCTCCTCTTCTTGACACATATTAGGGGGATCCTAAATTTGGGGTTAATTTGCAAACTGTCTCTTTTTTGAAAAAAAAACAAGGAAAATCGGCTTCCAAACGAAAGTTGAATTATAGTCCGCAATTCCGCGGGACTTTACATTTTAATCGGAATGTCTTACAGGCTAAGAACTAGGTGGAGTTTTCGGTCCGGAATAGTACAATCTATTTGCGGATTACTGTGTCTTTCAGTGCTAAGGAACCATTTAAACAGTGAATACTGTACTCGCATTCAATGTGACCACAGCCAAGTCCATTCCTGTCCTTATTTGACTGACTCACAGAAATCCGAGTCCTCTGAGTCGGGTTGAATCAGAAGGTTTTGGATTCATGCTGCGCGTTAGAATAGCGCCGTGGGATCTTTAACTTCCACCTGAGCGGACAGGCAGACTGTTCACCGTCTTAACTGAGGGACATACTTGTCTCGGCAATGTTTCCCAGTCAGGTGGCCTATGCCTCCTACTGTATGCGCGTTGGGAATTTACTAAGGCTGCGGAGTAAGGGATGTTTGCTGCGTTACATCAGTTTCAGCGTACAGTGCGAACGAACATAACGGAAGCTGACATTTGAGCAGAATTTTTAAGACAAAATCGCATTAGAGGGATAGTAGCTGAACACATTCTCTGTTAATCCCGCCATCACTGACCCCCGCCCCCCCCCCCACCATTCCCCCATCACCCACCCACACACACACACTCACGCACCCGCCCACCTCTGGAGCTCAGCCCCCAATTAGGAATTAAGAAAAGCAACAAGAATTTGCCTTTACGTAACCCCCTTCACACGAGTGCTGCTGTGCAGGGGTATAACATAACTGCATAAAATATACGTGTTCAAATGTACCCAAACCAAATCTGAATAGATTCCCTCTGTTTTGGCCAACAATCCCCAGGATAAAAAGCGGCCGTTCGCTTTGTGGCTGTTTGTGGGAATCGCTGTTTCGTCCGCAAGATACACATTCGCCGCACGGTAAACACAGTCAATCCCGTAGAGCGTTTCGAGGCAAGCGCGCTCGCTCAAATGCGGCAAGGATTATTATTATCACAGAAGCACCAGGGAATTCAGACGTTACACAATTCAATTTACTTTTACACAGCGCCGCCTTTCAGGTCGGGACGGTGTCTCAAAAGTCCTTTACGCCTGAAACATTTCGCCCACAAAACACACAGTCGATGCTGTGCATGTCAATTACAGTGTATCCCGTGAAGCGCTTTAAGCCGTCTCGAAGACGTTGCTATATCAAATGCAACGATTATTATTATTATAATAATCCACCAAAAATATTCAACTGAGGAACGTTTAAAAGAAACGTGGAATAAATATTGTTTACAAAAAAAATAAACCTCTGCACCTGGTCTCAGCCCTGCGTGAGCTCAAAGCTTTCCTCTCCGAGACCCACTTGAGAGCGAGGAAAGTTCCTGAGAAAGTTTGCCCTCAAGCCAAGCGTTTAGATATTTTTTTTGAGGGTGGGAGAGAGAAAAAGGGTACGTCAGAAGCTGTGGGAACCGCTCACCTTCCAAGGCGATGACTTGGTAGAAGGTGCTGGTGATCTGGAGGAGGTAGGAGGAGAGATAGACAGCGTTGAGGGCGAGCATAGTTGTGTGGCTGGCTTTCTCTCACCTTTCTTTCATTCGGCTTTTCTCGCCTTTGGAGTCCAATTCCCACCCCAGCTGCTCATGTTCCTCCCCTAGGGATGGAGATGAGAGAGAGAAGGAGAGAAAGAGAGAGAGAGCGAGAGAGTTGAGCTCAGTAGCAGACAGAACCTTGACTGTTCCTCTTGCCTTGCCCTACCTGCCTTGCCTGCTTGGAGCCAGCACTCTCTGGCAGTCAGTGCAGAGAGAGACAGACAGACAGACAGAAACACTCACACACACACAGATTTGGTGTGTGTTTGAAGGAGGAAGGTTTTTTTTTCTGGACTTGGAAATGGGGCGGCTCTACATGTTTTGGCCACCTGCCCAGAGTCAGGAGCTAACAGGCGTGGGCAAACTTCATTAACTATCTCACAGCCAGCCCCAAGGATACCACTCACCCCAGCTATCCCACAAATCATCATCATCATCAAAGTAATCATAATTCCCATCCCAGAAACTGATCAACCTCAGCCCAACATCAGCACCTGAAACTAATAATAGTCCTCGCCTTATCACGTTGTTGAGACGTCTCAAAGTTACGACCGGTTCACTGGATACGACAACTTTCGTCTACATAGCGCCCTTCATGCAGGGTAGTGTCTCGCTTGAAGGTGGGGGGAGTCTGACAACAAGGATGTACTGAATTGTATATTTTGTGGGCGAAATGCAATTAAAATAAAAATATACAATCCCACACCGTTTCCAGTCTGATATATATATATATCTTATGGCAGCTAACTTACTTGGATTATATACATACATATATATTTATAGCAGCATATTTTTGAGTCTGATTTAGCACCTCCTGTCTCAAAGCACTTCACGGGATTTCCTGTAAAGCGTAGAGACTGTGTATTTCGTCGGCAGTTTGCACGCAGCAGAACTCCACTCCAACAATCTATCTCTGGAATTTCCATGTGTAGTTGGGATGCATTGAATTCTTACATTAAACACCAGAATTCAAAATTCTACCAAGTCTCAGCCTAAAGGACCATTTGGTCTTCAAATTTAAGATTGAGTAAAATTGTAGTAAAGTTCCTAAATTAGTCTTAATTTTTGTGTAAAGTTGGTTCGCTTCCAGAGTAGCCTTAGCTAGAATTTATTTGGATTGGAATCGACTTATGGCCGCTGACTTACTTGGATTGGAATTTAAATATTTATTGGTAGCAATAAATGTTTTTATTTAGATGCATTAAAACAGTGTGAGCTTGGCTCAGTTTTGAGCTCAGTTCTTGTGCCTTTGAGCTCACTGGTCTGGGCTCACACTACAAAACAGCTACTACATTTGACTGGTTGCTCTCTGGAGGTAATAATCCCTTCAAATAAAATGTAATAATTTGGTCACTCGCTCCACGACTGTTTGTAGGACACTACACTGTGCAATTGGCTGCCGAATTTCAGTCAAACCACTTTACAGTATATTCTGGGAAGCCCTTTGAGACGTCTCAATGACGTGATAAGGAGCTAGATCAAATGAAAGGGTTATTATTATTATTGTCATAAGTGTTGTCCTTCGGATGAGAGGACGGGGAAGGGGGATAGGGGTGGGAGCGGGAGGGAGAGGAAGGGGTGGGGAGAGGGAATCATTTTAATGATGAGTTTGGCTCGCTGTTTGAATTTTAAATGATTTGCCCGTCAGTGGGAGGTTTGAAAGTCTTGCGTTAATAGGATTGCCTATAGCACATAATAATAGGTGGCACATGTATCGTCTACAGACATGATAGAACTTACCAGGCGAGGGGCTTTGATAAGAGTCTTGCTTAATGGACTGGTAGCTTAGCATGTCATTCACCAATCTCCCCACAACAGCAAACGAGATGCGGGGCAGAATTACCAAATCACCCGTGTTCAGATCCTCACAACAACCGTTCAAGCTGCGCCGTGTTGTATGTGCAGCGAGTATTCTGTGTACAGTTGTTCCAGTCACCGTGACACAAGGGTTAACTAAAGATCTTTCTAATCGAGTCTGACTAAATAACACGTGGAGCCCCGTAGTGTAGCGGTTAGATCGCTCGCCTCGCAAGCGAGAAGACCCAGGTTCGAGTCCCGGGTGCGCCAGGGCGAAACCTTAGGAAAGTTTCCTCACTCCACACGCCTCTGTTTACCTCGCAGTAAGTAGGAACCTGGTTGTTAGTCGATTGGCCGATCACTTTGCGGGGGTAATAATCCCAAAATGTGGTCACTCAACGTGTATTAAACGTGATTTTCGGACGGTCTTAAATCGTTACGGGAGATTATGTGAGCGCGAGCGACAATAGATTGCACGGAAATGGAAAGCGTGGACGGATTCGAAATTAAACACGACTTGTGGCGTGTACACGATAATCAATGAATAACCGCACACGACAAATCGTACTTTCCGTGATGTGGGCTTTTGGGTCTCCGCTGCCTGCGCGAGGAAAACCCTATGATTCTGGACTCATGAGTTTCTTCGGGGCTTTTCCTCGTGCATTTTATGTTGAACAAGGCACCTGAGGTGTTGGCTGCTTACGCGAACTTATAGCTCACAGTAGTTACAGCTCAACTTCGGTGCCACACAATTTACATTTATACAGCGCCTTTGACACAGTGAAGACCTCTCAAAGCGTTTCACCCGAGCCAGGAGGTGGGGCCTGGGGGTGGGGGTGGGGGGCTGGGGCTGAGGGGCGGGCGGTGGGGGGGGGAGGGTGTTGGCGAGGCTATTCAAGACATTGAATCTTTTGCTGGAGCGAATGGAGCTGATTCCTCTAATCCCAATTACCCTTCTCTTTGTTCTTACCCTTACACCATAACAATAACAACTCGCATTTACACAGCGCCCCTCACACAGGGTAGCATCCCGGAGCGCTTGACAGTGGGGAGCGTGACGAGGTGACGGGGTGGAAGGTGATCGTAGGCACGGTTGAAGAGGAAGGTCTTCAGGCGGGACTTGAAGATGGGGAAGGAGGGAGGGAGGGAGGGAGGGAGGGAGGCAGAGGGATTGAGCTAGAGGGTTCCAGAAAGCGCGGCCAAAGATGATTAAACGGAGGGCACGAGGGACAAGCTGGAAAATTGACAAGGTTGAACGAACAGTTTGCAGAGTCTTTGTGCAAGATTATACAGTGGTGTGAATTATTGGAGTGGACACCTATCTCCATAGTGATCGCGAACACTTATTAACAACCCCTTGTACTTTGGCTGCTGCTTAAGTAGTTATTGTAACCCTAAAGGTAAGGCGCAGCCAATAAAAAAAAATAACATTGATTCCATTCACTACGCCTTGACCATTAGATCCAAATTTTTGAGATTTTCCATTAGTTTCGGTTCACAAATCTCTCAGTCAGCATCAGTTGACTGTCCTCACTGTCAGGCTTCTGCTCAGCCGTTGTGTTTAGTGCCCTTTTTATAAACTTTTGCCTCGATACGAATGTATTCCCCCCGATAATATCTCGCACTCGTCGCCACTGTCGGTCTCGGTCTTTTTAAGAGCAATTCTTCTCCTCCGCACTTTCCGCTTCGGAGAATAATAATAATGTTAAGAATAATCCTCGCATTTGGCGTAGCGCCTTATCATGTCATTGAGACACCTCAAAGCGCTTCGCAGAATACACTGTAAAGTGAATTGACTGTTAATCCTGCAAATCCAACGGGCAGGATAGTCGAACAAGCAGGGAGAAGCTGACTGAACATTCCTCGGAATGGCAAGCTGTGTTGCTCAGCTGGTTACCCCAACATACACTACGAGGTGCCCCAAGCCTTGGCTCTTGCCAACCTGCGGTCTGATGTTTTTCCGAATTAAGTAAAGCAGGGTGCGCCCCTCTGGGAGGGCGGCGGCGTGGGGTGGGGGGGGGGGGGGTGTGGGGGTCGGGAGGCGGGGGCTTGGGAGGGCTGAGAGAGGCCGCACATTCCGTTCCAGACTCCGGAATTTCAATGTGTAGGTGGCACACATATGTGGAACTCTCAATCTGGTTTGCCTTTCCCTTAAACATGATCAGACTCCCCGGCCGATGAAAAACAAATTAAAAACATGACTGAAAGTTAAAAATTCACCAGTCGCAATTTTAGCCAAGTTGGGAAACCAACTGCACATTGTGAGCTTGGCTCAGTTGGGCAAACTCTCGCCTCAAAATCATTTGGAATTTAACACAAACAAACAGTGGTCGCTCCAGTGCAGTGTTGCGTCGTCAGAGCCGCCATTCTTCAGGTGAGACGTTAAACCGAGGTCCCGCCTGCCTGTACACGGGGAGGAGAATAATAACGAGCACTTATAGCAGGTTTCCATGAGGAGCACATGAGGTTGGACGCCAAGCTCGGAGGAAGGGAAGAGGGGAAGTTGACCGTAAGTGTGGTCGGAGAAATAGGTGTGTAGACAAGTCTGTGATGAATCGCCTAACAACGCTAGATCTCATTCCACATTTCCTCTGAGAAGTTCTACCCCATCTACAAAGTTCATGTGTTACTGTTTTTAACTCGCTCCCTGCAGTACGCTGCATTCATCTGTACGGAGTGATTTGGTCACAATGGGACGTGCTCCTTGCATAAGACAAGCATTGTAAGTACTTGCCATTTATTTTCTGAAAGTAACCCTAATACGTAAAACACTAAGGAATGCTAATGCTTGGGTGGAACTATTCCAACACGCACACAAAGGTTCTGTATTCATGGCCTCATAACAAGTATTCGGAGAAGCTGAAGGCTAAGATTTCACCATTGTTTTCAGTGTGACCGCCCGGAATACAACATGACTGCGAAACACTCAAGCGAGCAGGTACATTAATAAATCATCGTAATAGCATCGACACTGAAAATACGCAAGGCCTCCGAGCAAGTGTTTTCTTTCACCTGTAGCTGTGGAACCATTGTCCAGTGTGATTGCCCCAAATGGTCCTGAATCATCCACACGGCTAACCTTCACACGGCAATAACTGGTGTCTTGGCACCTCTGCCTAACGCAGTCGTCAGAAATCCCGTCCTCCGGCTGAGATGTTAAACCAAGATCCCAATTCCTTGTTCGGGTGGACACTAACGATCCCATGGCACTGTTTGAGATGAACAGGGGTTTTCTCCTGGTGTCCTGGCCGACACACCTCCAGCTAACATTGGCCATTCGCTTCACGAAAACGTGACGAGATGCTGCTGCGCGCCAATCGGCTGCGGCATTCGCCTACAAACAAACAGCCACTACACTTCACGGAAAAAAAACGCCTGCGGTACACTTTGAGATGTTTCGACCTGATAAGGCCAAGTGTCAAGTGTCAGGATTAATATCACACAGTGGA